GATATATTTCTTTGTATTGTATCAATCCATTTATTCTGTAATAAATTCTATGAAATACCGTTTACTTTTATTAATTGCTTTACTAAACCCTGTGTTACACTCTCTTGTTTATACAGAGTTGGGATAAAGTATGGAACCAAGGAAATATCTTTGAAACGAAAAAGACGATATTCATAAAACTTCACACACCAAGGCATACGACACGGTTTGGAGATTTAATATTATATCAAAATTACACATATGGGGAATCAGGGGTAATATTCCAAGATTCATAGAAAACTTTCTTCAGTTAAGAGCTTTCTCTGTTCGCGCCGATAATTCCACTTCATCAAAAAAAATTCAGAAAAACGGAACACCTCAGGGTCAGTTATGAGCCCAACTCTTTTTCTCGTGGTTATCAACGATATACTGGATCACTGCTCCCAGCTAGTTAAGGGAAGACTATATGCCGAGGATCTGGTTCTATTTGCAAAGGGCAAGAATATGAGAATGATTCAAAAACACTTACAAGAATCTATTTATAAATTAAAAATATGGTCAATGTCAGTAGGCGTGCAATTCTCCCCACTAAAAACAAAATGCATGCTTTTCTCAAGAAGGCACCGGCCACAGAGAACATCTTTAAAACTGTATGGCGATTAATAAAAATTAATTTTCTCGGAATGGTATTTGACCAAAAACTAACATGGAAACAACATATTTTATAAATAAAAAAGTCTTGCCAAAATGGAATAAATGTAATGAAAACATTATCAAATAAAAAATGGGGATCCGACGAAACCACGTTATTAAATATTTATGTCACTCGTTAGATCAAAAATAGATTATGGGGCTATTGTGTATGCCTCCGCTAAAAAACACTAACATGTATGCATGTTACCAAGCAACTTGAAGTCATTCAGAACACAGCACTTCGCATTGCCATAGGTGCATTTAGAACCACACCAGTTAAGAATCTCCAATGCCTCACAGGAGAGCCACCTCTTAATCTACGAAGAAATTATTTATGCCTTTCGTATGCAGCATCAGTCGCCAGCAACAAATTCTACCCAGTATTTCAAATATGGACCGTTACCTAGAAGCTTATAACAAAAGTAGGTTCGATCCACCATTCTACGAAAGAGTTCGAAGAAATTTAAAAGATCTACAACTCCAAATTTCTGACCTCTTTCCTTCAAATGTAAAAACTCCACCTCCCTGGTTAATCATGATTCCCGAAATCAATACGACGCTACTCCAATATAAAAAATCAGATACATCACTCACTGTAATCCGACAGTCATGTTTAAAGGAACTCGAGACTTACGGGAAAAGCTTTTGCATTTATACAGATGCCTCCAAATCTGCAAATGGTGTAGGAGCAGCATTTGTCACTCCATATTCCTCTTCCCAATTTAAATTAATGCCAGCCACTTCTATATACACAGCAGAATTATATGCAATATTACAAGCCCTCATTCATATCAAAAGTACAAACCATTCTTCTTCCGTCATTATCACAGATTCTCTAAACTCCTTAACAACAATCGGTCAACTATATACTAAGAACCCTATAGCCTTACTTGTCAAGAAAGAACTTGCTGCAAGAAAGACCAAGAATCTGGTTCAGAAGTCAAATTTATGTGGGTTCCATCTCACACGGGAATACAAGGTAATGAAAACGCAGACCTCCAAGCAAGAGAAGCTACCAAAAATGATTAAGCTATAATAGTGTCAAAGACTATCTGCAGTGATATAAAACAGTTCGTTAAAGAAAAAGTGATTAGTGCGTGGCAAAATAAGTGGAACTTATCGGAATCTAAATTAAAAGAAATTAAATCGACAGTGAAACCGTGGCGCCTAGTAAACTTAAAAAGAGCTGTATAAGTCAAAATTTCTCGACTTCGATTAGGTCATACCAATAGTACTCATAAGCACCTAATAAGTAAAGAAGACATTCCAGTGTGTGATTACTGTCAAGTCAATATTACTGTTAAACATCTCCTAACAGAATGTGGAAAATATACAGTTAACAGACAAAATAACAATATTTCCAGTGACTTAAAAATAGTATTAGGTGAACATTTAAATACTAAAAACTTAATTAGATTTCTAAAAGAAACATCTTTATATAATTTAATATAATGTAATAACTAATGTAAACTAATGTCGCTAATGACCCAGGTGGTTGAAGCAACTATTATTAGTAAATAAAAAAAAATAATAAAACTTCACATGTACCTAACTACAATTAAAGAATAGCTAAATTTGTTTACTAAGACCAATGCGAATAATAATATTACAAAATCACTTCAAATGTTCAAAATGCTCTCAATTCACCTCCTGACAATTCATTTTTTCATAGATAATAATTATTTGTCGCAAATATTGCAAGCATGTTGGACATCTAATATAGACACATGTTTTTGGATAACCTTAAAGAAAAAAACCTAAGGGTTAAGGTTCAGAGAACGAGCTGGCTATGCTATGATCTTCTACGACCCATCCAAAAATCCGCATTTTTACCAATATGGCAAATTTTCAACTATCGTATACGTTATTCAGTATGTGGAACAAACACTTAATTGTTTGAATAGTGTTATTATATATTTCTGTTACATCTTTGCTTCTAGAATTTTAGTCCGTACATGAGTGTAAAATAATATTTAAATCCAGTGCGGTTCATTGTAGAGTGAAAATTTAGATTGTCCCCAAAAAAAAACTTAAATAAAGTATCCATGTAATTGTTATTTATTTAATCTATTCTATCAATTATTTAATTAGTTATCAAAGAACATTGATTTAAGGAATTGATGTGTAGTAACAACGCATTATTCCCCTGACGAGTTGTAAAATTTAAAGCAATGCATTTCTTTAGAATGTGGTGCGCCAAGATATATCCGCCTATCCGGCATTTAGTAATTATCAGACAATGATGGGTAATGCGTTGTTCTTTGCGTAAAATTATTTTGTTCTCGGCAACTTTCCGTCGGTAAACCTTAAGAAAAACTAGAACAATATTCGAGTTTTAAACGCAATTCTTGTAGATTTTTAGCGAGTAATATGGTGGTCATACCACCTGCCATTATCTGGACGTATCACCCATCATTCATCCATATCTTCATCTGTAGATTGCCGATTTTTATATTTAATTTAAAGAACAATTCAAGAACTTTCCATAAATAATAACTATGAACATCTCAGTTTAACATTAATTAATAGTGCGAGATAGTAACCCACCTAGCCAAGTGCGGTTTGGCTAGTTAATTTTTGTCAACTCTGTAACCTGTTTGTTTTTTTTTTGTAAATTTAGAGTTAAGAAATTTTTGCTATCTTTTGTATTTGCTATAATTTTTGCTCATTATCTTTCCTATAATATCTCGAGATACGCCAAACTATATTTGTATATGATTGTCTTATATATCTTGGTAAAGGTATTTTTTTTATTATATTATTGCTTAATTTTATACATATATAACACCATTTCATAGTTGTGTATTTTTATTACTTGTGTTGCATTTAGCAGCATCATAATTTTGTGTTTAATATATTGTTAATGTTTTATGCATGTATTTTATTTGTCGGCTCCTAACAAGTACCCTGATAAAATAGTAGCTCTAAATATTTGCTTAGTATATTAAGTTATTACTATACCTTTGACCAGTAGAAAGATCAGGCTGATTAAGTTTCGTAGGTAAGTAAGTGTAATACCTAATATATTTATTATTTGTTTATATATTGTGTTGACCAAATTTATTTGATAATTAACTGTTGGTATCTTTCCTTGGGTTTGATCTCTGATCCCTGAAGGATATCTTTCCTTATCTCTTTTCTTTTCTAAGGTTTCTTAATTTTCTCCTCAACCTCAAAAAATTGAGTGGCGCCCTGTTTCTATCTTCTCTTATCTTTGGTAATTTTTACCCATCTATCTTTTTGTTTATTTCTATATCTTTTCTAATATCTCTTATCCTATCTTTACTTATTTCGTCCGTTGGACCCAATCCCGGTTCCAAAAGCTAGTTTCGAACCCACGACTCGCTCTTCACCAACCATCTGGCTGCCGTCCGCAGTGTCTCCATTGGTTATCTTTCTAGCACCATCCAAAAAAGAATTTCGAGGTTACAATATTGCTTAAAGTTTTGTTCTTTAGGTCAACTTCGTCCGCAATTTGTCTACTCGAACAAGGCTTGAGCTTGGCGTTCAACAGAGATTTGTTCTGATCGTGGATGATCTGTTGGACGACATTTCATACAGATATTTATGCAACCGAAATTTTCAAAGTTTTTAATAATTGATCGTACTGTTTTCTCTGTCCGAATTGGGACAATGTCCCATAATACCATTTCACTATTTGAATCTTTTGTTTTACAAAACAAAATTTTGTAAAAGCTCAATATACACCACAAATAATGCTAAAAATAATGGTTGACGCATTTCTTAAAGAGATTAGATCCTGAGGTAACAGGAAAAAATAAAAAATTGAAAAAAAGTCATTTGGGGTAAAACCAACCTTTGTGTCTCATTGTGTGAGACACCCCAGCCTCCCCTACGTATGAATGTACGGTATAATTATTTTCTTATTCTATTAAAAATGTAATAAGAAATCAGATATTTTGTTGTGTAGAAATTATTCTATAAAAAAAATTTTTCGACTTTTATTTGTATAAAAAAAATATAATCAATTTGCAATAATAATCAAATTAAAATCTTTAAAACGAATTTTCCTAATATATTGCTATGCCAAATCAAATATCTTAAAGCATTAGTTAATTCAATAGATCTAAATAAAACCCCGTCAACAAAACAGGCACCCTGAAAGGACGCCAAGAAGTCTGGCGTCACTTTCTCTTCAATCCAAATTTAGTCTGCACAACATAAAGTTTTGCCCTCTTTCAAAAAGACGAAAACAGACATATTCAAAGCTTCGAGGTAAAAGAGAGCAACCACTCTGTTATCTAAAATTTTAGTGCACATAGAGTGCATTTTGTAACTTCCCTCTTAACAGTATCTAGTCTAGACACAGATTGCGGTGTAAGTTTTGTGGAAACAGCTTGTTCCAACACAATTTTCTTTGCATTTTAATTGTGGGTGTGTGAATAGTGAAACATAACAATGGTGAAATCGTTTTTCTTTTGTTTAAGTTTGAAAACAGGAGCTGCAATTATGAGCGGGACCAACTTGGTAAGTAGAAAAAACATTTTTTTATCAAATACATTTCTTAACAAGTTAACAACACCAGTTTCGTTTGGAGTTTAGTTTTCTTAGTTAGAAAATCAATTATTCCAGCACGTTAATAACCGTATTAGTATGTTTGGTAAACAAATTTGTGTATTTGTTTTGTTTTATTTTCATTACAATGGGTATGAAATTTAAATAATGAAGGAATTTGTCTGAAAAATGCATACAAACAAATGATAATTTAAAAAAAATCATTGCTCGTACTATTATTGTTACTTGATTTATCTGAGTTCAATTCTTGTTAGTTCTGAGTAGAATTTTTTTAAATTTACGTTGACTTTTTAAAATTTCTTCTTGCTCGTATATGTAAAGTACAGTTAATTTTCTTTCTTAATTTATTAAAAACATTTCTAGCTTTTGATTCTTGTTTAAAAATTCACCAAATTCTTGATTCAAGATAAATAAAAAATGTTTGCATTTTTCTGTAACTGCACTACTTTGGTATTTTTGCAGCTGTATTTGCTAGGATGACCGTATCATCTGCGATTCTTATACTGCTTATCACTTTATCATTGATAATGATTCCACTTTTTTGCTATTTTAGCGCTTTTTAGATATTGCTTAACTACATATGTTTCGGTCTCACCCCTTTTTTTATCTGCAACTTTTCACCAAGGTCTATTTCTATACATATTTGACCCAATTGGTTCCACAATAGTTTCTTTTTTAAATAAATGTCCCGGTAATGAATATTCTAGAATTATATATTTAACTGTTTTGTGTTTTTTTTTGACTTATGGAATGCTTGTTAAAATCTTTATAGTGGATGTAAATGTCACTATTTCGATCTACCACTACTTCACTGAATGAGACAGGGATATTGTACGATGTTCGCTGCAGTCCTTTATTATTTTTTTATAAGTACTATAAATGTTTACATCAGCCAATCTTTTGGTCATATTTTCGTCATATAAGTACATATACTACATTCAAAATGTCTGACAGTACAGCAATTAAGTCATCATCTACTAGTTGTATCAACCAAATTGTATGTCATCAGGTCTGCTTGCTTTTTTAGTTTTAATACTTTTAATTGCGTATTAGATTTTCTCCTTTAACCTGGTTGGCTCCTCTTCCAAACTCAGACTCAAATTATCACGTGTATGATCCTCTCTAAATAAGTCCTTGACCCCAATGCAACCTTTAACAGACTTGTTGTTGTTACTCCGTTCATTCCAGTTGGGCACATTCAAAGAGGCAAATTTCCTTTTTAGCTCTTCACCTTTTTGACGTGATTAGTCAACTTCTCTTGCTTTAATACCTTTATTTTTCTTTTAATTTGCCTACCTATTAATTCATATTTTTTGCGGTCTTTTGACTTGAAGACCTTTCTTTTATTTATAAGCGTTGAATAAGTCTCAACAGTATTATAATTTATATAATAGTAGTAGTAAAATAAATTATATAGTATTTGGTCTCTTTTCTTTTTTAATAGTAGTATTTTACATAATAAAAGAAAACATTTATATTTTACTTTGATTTGAGGGGTAAAATATTTATCTAAATTTATGATTTTATTTTAGCTTTTCTCTATAGTAGCGACAGTAGCATCCAGTGTAGCATTATATCATCATCAAACAAGTGAGGATGAATTATATTTAATTTTAACTCTAGTCATGGGAATATACAATTTATTTGTTGCTGGTGTTATAATTGCTGCTTTGATTAAGGTGAGTATATTCAAATATTTTTTAATAACGTCAAATGGGGAAACATTGACCCTTTGCGTAGAACTTTGTCCCAAATAAGGAAAAAGAATAATTTCAAAATGGCGCCAACAAGGCTTCCGAAAGTGAAAAACGAAGCTAGACCTGTTATTTTAATAGGTGATAACCTCTTGTCCATTGGATGTGGCATTTTTGCTCCGTTAAAAAGAGCTTGGTAGAATATTTTAAATAAGTGGAAGAGTGAAGCTGGTTCCAGACTTTCAACAAGTACTCCTAGACACTTTGTCTCAGAACTAGCAACCTCCAGTGGAGTCTTACATCACCATGTTATCTATCCTGTTGTAACTTAAAAATCCGATAATATAAAATCAAATATTGTAACTTAAATCAAATTTAACAACATTTAAAGGGTTTTTACCCTTGTATTTAGTGGCTTAAAACATATACATCCAGATAGTCAATTTTAACATGAGAATTTAAAAATATGAAGCTTTTAAATAAGGTAATATGTTAATGGAATTCTGATAAATACAATCAGATATGCAGACGATACGGTTATTTTAAGTGATGACATGAATGGATCACAATGCCTTTCGAATTGAGATAGCCCGCGCGACATTTTTTTTAAAATGAGGTCGTGAGGTACGGTGTCGAAGCATGGACATTAAAAATATCCACCATTAATCGTCTGGAGGCCAATGAAATATGGCTGCACAGACGTATACTAAAAATTCCATGGATGGCTATGCTGACAAAATGTGGCAGTCCTTAAGAGAGCAAATGCTGCTCGCGAGCTGCTTGATAACATCGAATGTAGAAAGATGGCCTATTTTGGATACGTAGTAAGGGGAGACCGATATAATATTCTTCAACTTATGATGGGTAAAATCGAAGGACGTAGAGGAATTGGTAGAAAGCAGGCCTCTTGGTTGAAGAATATCAGGGAGTGGACAGGAATAAAGAAAGCTGAGCAATTATTTAGAATAACTCGAGACAGAGACAGTTTTCGCCATGTTAATCGCCAACGTCAAGGGGACTTGATAGGGCACGTTAAGAAGAAGAATATGTTAAATATTAAAAATAATAAAAACAAATATAAATACTTTTCCAAGCAACTTACTAATTTCTAATTTGAGGAATCTTAAAGCAAGTACTGTATACAATGGTTAAAATAATTATATATTAATGTAAATTTAAAATTTTAATAATTTTTATTATTGTGTTTTAGGGTAATGAAAAATACGTGTTCCTATATATAATTCTGGAAATGACCAACCTTTTTATAATCTCGGTATTTGCTGGCATAAATGTTTTCGAGTATAAATCATTTAGTATAGCAGCTCTTTTTGTTGTGTGTAGTAAGTATATACTGTTTAATAGACAATTTTGTATTTAGAAAAGTAACATATTGCACAGACCATCCAAACCATTCTAAAAACTTTTTGAAACCAGAGCGTCAAAAATAATTAAATCAATTTCTTCTTTCCGACACCAAAGTGGTTTTTTTGGCCTTAGGTTCAAGACCTATTTAGCCAGCCAATTTTTTAAATAAGTAAAAATAGTTAACTTTTATACTTTCTTTAAATGTATATCTGACAATTTCCTATCGTACATTCACTCAATTTCCTAACCTTCCATTGAAAACACTATTAGTGATGGTACAAAAAGAATTGGATATGGACATACACTTCACGCTAAGGGGCTGCACTTCACGGCTACTTTTTAAAAAACAAACAATAGAGGTATGAAATACTATAACAACAAGACAGTATGGAATACTACAACTTAAGTCCACCATTTCACATTCACACACCCACTTTTTGAAAAAGGCAGTTTTAAGTTTTCCGTTTGGTACGTTTGAAGAATTCCCATAAAATGGATCTAATAATTGGGTTTCGACTACATAAATAGAGAAGAAAATCAACGTTCTGGACCAGTATGATTTCTTTCTGGGTGATGGCTTGAAATAAAAGTTTTATAATTTTTTAATTATACAGACACTGAAACATCCAGTAATTAAGAAGATCAAAACTGTTGTCATATTCACATGTATCTATTTCTAAAAATTTATATAGGTATGCGTTTACTGTAGCATGTTCAAAAAGATATTTAACGTACATGGTATAAATTTTGCGAGATATAAAGCTTCTTTCATAGGGTGGCGGTTAGGGTGGGGGTTGGCGCAAGAGTTGGCGCTGGGTTTGGCGCGAGAGTTGGCGCGAACATTTTCGACTGTGGAATTTTGATTCGAGGATGGAGGGGGCGATATTTTCATGAGAGGTCTCCATGTAGAAGGTAATCGTATGGCGTCGTCTCTTTTATTAAGTCGATTTAATCAAATGAAATTTTGTCGCTGATCCATAAAGAAAGCTTCCATAGTCCATTGCTTCCATCCGTACATAGCGTATAATAACACGTCCTTACTAGTCAACAGTAGGAGTAATTTATTACCAAAATGGTTGTTGGGATGTGTTTTTAGTAAAAAGACGAAAACGTTATTACTTTCATTATAAACAGAAACTAGATAATAGATAACAATGAGAATTGTACGTTAATTCTTTATTCAAATATAATAAGTACCTATTCTAACCACTTTTGTTTTTATTTTTAGTGGTGCTTTGGTATGGACTATATTGCATGGTCGGATTCTACAATGAGCTTGCAGAATATAACAGCGTCAAATCCGGTGTCATCGAAATCACATGCAATACCAACATAAACCCAGTTGCTTTTCCAGAAAAAGCTATTGAAAGTACCGCTGTATAAGTTTAATATTCCTGTAACAATTATTTACATGTTTTCCAATGAACCAAAAGTAATTTGATACCAAAACAATGTTGATTTCATTGAATTAAGAATCAGTTTAAACTAGTAAACAATTTTCCGTATAAGATCCTGCAAATAGAGAGTACGATATCGGTAATGCAATTGTATTTAATTACACATGACATTTTTTCCATACTTCCTACCTTGCTTACGTCAGCAAATCTTACGGTCTGTAGCCATTTTCCCCCACGATCGAACACCAAGGAGATTTCTTGCGTTCTCATCCACCTCATCCTCCCATCGCTGTCTCGGTCTTTCAAAAAGTCTCTCTCCCTTGCATTCAACAGTTTTTTGGAAGCCTGTTTTTCTCATCCTACATACATGGCCTATCCATTAATATAGTAGAGTCAGAAGGCATTTAACAGGGTTAAATTACGTTATTCCCTTGTTGTACGCAAGAAACCAACAGAAAACTAAACGCAACTTTTATAAACAATTCCAACGATCAAAAATACATACCAGAAAAAAACAGAAAAGTAAAAGTAGAAGAAGAACTAACTGACCCAATCTAGTTGTATCTATGTGATTCGCTTAATATTTGAATATATAATAATTTAGAAGATTTTGCTCCATGTACTGAATTATGATAATAATTGTTGGTTGTATTACTTAAAGTTTATAATAAATATTTAATTTTGATATATTACTATGTAGAAGATATTAATGTAAAATTACGTAAAAATAAAATCTCTATTATTACCCCTTTTTTTTTGTCATACTGAAACGAAACATTGAAGCCAGTTGTTTTTGCCGGGATTCACGATTTATCTCTATAAACATTTATTATTTTAGTTACTATGTGAATCCCTCGGTATGTTGAGTACTCGAGTTACTGTAATCAAGATTCTTGTCCTGCTCTTAAGCATCCGACCTATAAAATCAGCAAATCATTAACCTGTACTCACACCAGGATCGTCTAAGAGAAGTAACTTCCATCCCCGGAAGTGAATTAGGAAATCCCCCTTGGCATTTATAAGATAGAACACTCTGCTCTTGTTTTCTTGGTGGTTTATGTTATTCTCATCACAGCATAATCTTTATTTCTTCTTTATGTGCTTTGTCTATTTTTACAGCATTACTTTTTCAATTGAAAATTGCCACAATGACTTTATGAGAATGAATGACTTAATGAGAAAATGCGCGATATGATTTGAGCATATACCTACACAAGAAAATGCTTATAGTATTTCAGTAAAAAGATGGGATGGATGGTTATCGTTATCCGTACATGTGGACAGAAGACAAGCCAATTAAACACATTTTTTAATGTTATTTCATCGTTTAGATGAAATCGAACCATATCGTACTAAAAGTCGAGATGGTAGATCACCTCGAAAGTTATAATCTTATCGCGGGTCTAATTATAAAAAAATTTACCTGAAGAAAAAATTGGTTACTTTCCATGGAAAGTAGCTAAGTGCCACAACTTCTTCTATCAACTCTCGCAAATCTTTAATCGGATCTTTCGAAAATATCCTCATGCTTAGAATCGAACCTATTATTGGAAAATAACAATACTCAACTATCAATTTAACTTCAGACAAAAACATGGTACTATCAAATAAATACATAGAGTAGTCAGAACAGCTAGAGATGTCCTTAAAAACAAATCCTACAATACAGCTGCCAGCTGCCTATGTAACAGATAGATAGATAAAAGGGATAATGTCATTATCACTCCATATACTGACAAAGAAAATAGCGTAGAATCTTTTAAGTAATTTTAAAACTGTTTGTCCTCGTTTTAGTGTAGTGTTTTGTACAATTTTATGTCATTATTAATGTTTCCACATTCTACGCTTGCCGGATAGTTTATATTTGACGAAATGCCCCTGAAGATGCTGTTTTAAGCGAAAGTACTTGGGCTAGATTTAATTAACTTGTGCTCGATAATAGCCTTATTTTTCAAAGTTCATATTGTTTATTGTTATTATTGATAACATATTACAATAAATAAAGTTAAAAATATAATTGCAATTTTAATATTAGATACAGCTGCAGTTATTTTTTGACCCTATACTTTTCTTTCTTAAATTTTCCCTGGATTAGGATTTCTAAAAGTTGATATTGATTTTTTCTACTTTTGATGTACATAAAACAGTAAAAAATATGGATTAGGGAATGCTGCAAGTTTTGCAGCAAGAAGAAGAAGATGACGACGATTTGCTATTGTATTATTGCTTTAGGAGAAATTTTACACAACCATTGTACTTAAGTAGATGAAAGAAGGCTCTTATGAAACATTTATTAAAAGATTTGATTCACTTTTTGAGCGATTTACTTCCAAACATTTTCTTTCAGATGTCTTCTTCTTCTTCTACTTTTTGTAGATCTTTCGATCTGTTTAATTCTCAAGCTGCCTCTGGTTAATTTCTTTGGGAGGTAGATTGCCAACTATCCCTCCACCTTTTAGGTGGTCTTCCGGGGGTCTTGAACCGGGCGGATTGTTTTCTAGGGCAATTTTTGGGAGTATGTTCTCATCCATCTCGTCTTACATGGTTGTACCACATCCTCTTGCGCTGCCTTCCCCATCTTACAATATCTTGAATTTTGCACTGCTCTCTAATGTTTGTATTTCTCACTCTGTCTCTTCTTGTTTTCCCCAGTATTGTTCTTAGGGTTTTCATTTCGGCAACCCTTAGCATCTGTTTCGTTTTGTTGGTATCTTCGCGCACTTCTATGCCATATGTCATGATCGGTCGTATGCAAGTCTTATAGATTCTAATTTTACTATCTGTGCGCATATACGGATTTGACCAGACTATCTCCCGCAGACATCCTGACAGTGCAGATGCTTTGTTGATCTGACTCCTCAGGTTCTTTACTGGGTCGTGGGTGCTTGATATATCTATGCCCAGATATCTGAATTGCATCACCTCTTCTATGGGGTTGTCCTCAACCACTAACTTACATCTGAGCGGATCTTTAGAAATGTTCATATTTAGTAGTCGGCTTGTTTGAAAGAACTGAAAGAGCTGCCTTTGGAGATCATCTTCTGATTCGGCAATCTTTCTTTCACATGTGAATTTTTATATTTCTTATCTTTGCAGTCGAATAAACAAGGAAATTTAAACATTAGATCAATAAAATAATCACTTTCTCCGCTTGTCAATACTCCATGTTGTTCAACTTCACGACGGTACTAATGGCACTACTGTTTGTTCAAGTGTACCGTCTGCCGTCAGGCGGGACAGCAAACGGACGTTCTGCTAGACATCAGCTGCAGTCATATCGGAATCAGTCTCATCCAAATTAATACTGCAAAGTAATACTCGTTGCCGTGGGCAAAAAATGCAACTGAAGTCCGCAGTCGTGGTCGGAATCGTACTTTAAGTGCATAGTTCGAATGCGTCTATTTTATTGCAGCAGTACTTATTCATGGTCCACGTCTCCACACCATGTAGAAAAACAAAATAATAAAAGGATCAGCTTATTTTGGTCCAAATAACCTGATTTTAGTCGATGTCCCATTAATTATTTATAACTCACCCTGTATGTACGCCTGTTACTTTATTTAACTGAGTGGGGGTGCAATGTATGTTCCTGTCCGATTTATATTTTATGGTGAAAATCACAAAACAGCAAGATTTAATATTTTATTTATAAAATAAATTTTCATTAACCTTCGTTCGAGTCCATCGACTCTTTACACTTTAATTAAAAAAACAGAGAGTAGAAACAATTATTGTCAAAGAAGATCGTCTTGAAAGGAGTAGTCTTTGATAAAAACAAACTCTGTTGCTTTGCTTCGAAGGTGGTACACAAAGTAAAGCGAAACAATTGACGCTATTACCTAAAAGTAATTAAAGTAAGTTAATTAAAAGTATACAAAGGAACGTTTTTAGATTTTAAGTTTAATAGTGGCATAGTATTTAAAATTATACGATTAATTCACATAAAACATTTTGAGTAGAATAAAAAAATAAAACTATATAAAAAACAAATCAAAAAAATATATATATCCGTTCTTCTTAAAGAAGTAGTCATCATTTTATCTCTAAAAACTAGAAGAATAAGCTGAATTTTTCTAAAAATGGCAATTTTAGAAATCCAAAAAGATACAAAAAAGTTTTTTTGAAGTACAACATGAATTGAACAAACATGAAAAAATGTAGCTGAGATAATTTTGAAAGATGTTGTTAAGTAAATAAACGATGCCTGATTTTTGCCATTTGTTACGATTCTCATAAAATCAATAAAATCTATCACTTCCTTTGACCAGTCGCTGTGAAATTTGTATTGGTAGAGCCTAATCTATAACACCTATAACATGAAATTTAAATTTTGAGTTTTGGCAACAATTGAGGCATTTAAAATAGGTACCTATGACCTAAAAATGCCGAATTAAAATTTTTACATAACAAACGATCAAAACCTTTAAAACTTCTTTTTTGGATTTTTTGCGTGCAATCAAGAATATGTAATAGGTTTTGAAGATTAGGCTCTAACAATGAACATTCCACAGTGACCGGTCAATGAAATTGATACATTTTATTGATCTTACGAGAATGGTAAAAAATGGCAAATATAGCGGAACGTTTAGTTATTTAAATCAATATAAGGTTAAATGTTCGAATAATTAAACTTTGAGGGTATACAAGGCAACTATCGAACACGGTGATTCAATTTAATCTTGCCCAAGTACTTTCGATCAATAGATCATCTTCAGGGGCATTTCGTCAATTGTGGCCTATCCGACATAGTAGAATGTCATAAAATGTAAAATCTGGACATAACAATACAAAATACACTACACTAAGACAAACAAACACTTTAAAATTTATATGGAGAAGCTACATATTGTGAAGAAACCGAGACAGCTTTTAAAGACAAATTTTAAAGTGTTTGTTTGTCTTAGTGTAGTGTATTTTGTATTGTTATGTCCAGATTTTGCATTTATGACATTCTACTATGTCGGATAGGCCACAATTGACGAAATGCCCCTGAAGATGATCTATTGATCGAAAGTACTTGGGCAAGATTAAATTGATCACCGTGTTCGATAGTTGCCTTGTATACCCTCAAAGTTTAGTTATTTAGCAGATGCAAACATTGCATACCTTTGCCCATTACCTTTAAAACGCATTTCATTTCTCTTGATAGGGCACTCTGATAAAAAAATATGGAATTTTTACCATCGTGTTGATACAAATTTTATTTAAAGAAATAATTTCGACAACTTAACTGACATTGAAAATCGCTGGTCGCTTCAAGCGATGTTTCTGAGAAAACGATTCATTCAACAGAAAAAGTTCTATAAGCATTTTTGTTCAAAATTATCTCAGATTCTTGGTAAATCGATATTTCTTCCCTCCTACGAAGGTGTTTTTAGGTGGAAGCCCGGGAAACCCTTTACCATGGATAAAATTTTCTAGGCATGGGGTTCACTCAAGACGCGCATGTCCTCCGGATTTATTCAGATACGACCTGATACGATGAAATTAAGGTAAAATTGAAGGAAAAAGTGCCCCAGGACAAAGAAGAATATCCTGGCTTGCTAACCTGAGAGCATAGTATAGAAAGATCACAACACAGCTATTCCGTATAGCGACCAACAAAGTCATCATAGCCAGAATTATCGCCAACCAACGTTTGGAACGACAGGCAACCTAAGAAGTAGACCTGATGCGGTGAAGGGTCTAGGACGGACGAAGCCTATGTGGCTTCTGGAAGATATGAATGTACTGCTGGAAGCACAGACCTTTCCTAAGCCTTGGAGGACATCGAGGCTAGTACTGTTCCCCAAGGAAAAATATTGCTCCATCTGTCTCCTTCATGCATGGGTTAGCTGTATGAAAGGATGTTGCGAGTACGCATCGACGGTATTATTGGAAGGTCAGGTGGTTTATTTAGGAGGCAATTTGGTTTTTTTTTAAGGAAAATCACAATTGATGCAACGATTGATTGGTACAACCCTTCGTATTCGCGTAATAACCTACTAGTAGTGGTCCGGTAGGAGCCAGATCTCAAATACCCGGTTTGGAACGCAGGCGGCATCGTAAAGAAATAGATGGCGCAGCGGGGACTGAACCTTGCATCAGAGAAAATCGAAACCATCATTCTGAAGGAAAAAAGGAACAGGCAAAGTGTGGAATTACAATGAGCGCAAGCATGTCTAACACACAAACACGTAAAGTACCTATGAATGACATTGCACAAGAATGGAAAATGGAGGAGCACGTACGGGAGATGGCACGAAAGGCTGCGAATAGTGCGGCTGCGTTTGGGGAGGATGATACCCAACATTGCAGCACCATACGCGGCACCAGTCTGGAGCGGGGCGATAGAGATAACGGCCTATTCCATACATATGGACCGCATGGTAGAACAAATGAGTCATTGTAATGTCACTAAACTATTTTGAAAAAATTTTTCGAAAAAACGAAAAAACATGTACTTATAATCACAAATATATTTATTTTTAAGCCGCCACTAGATTAAAAATTGGTTGTTAATTTACCTCTGCAATGGACAGTAATGTAATTGATACTCCCAATACTCGTTGACAATGCTTAATATACTTAAACAATTCATCGTTGCAAGGCTCATTAAAAATGTCAGAAGAATCTGTCTTGTGGCAACTTTTTGGTATTCTGTTATTCCAGTATTCAGATCCATTAAATCCACAGCATTTTAGCTAAAACATATAAAAAATTAAATTCCAATTTTGGATGGAGAGATACCTAAATGGTATTTTTTTAGAGGTATAGAAATGTAAGTTGGTAAAACTTTTTTAACTGTCGGCCAGTTTGACAGCTTTCAAGTAATTTATGTTATTAAGTTTGGTTTAGCATTTCAGCATGAATAGAGTTGATGCCTGGACAACGCTTCTAAATTGCCTAGCATACAGGAAGTCACGAATCAGTCTATCTGCCATCGTGCACAGCAATTGGATACGTGTCCATCCACTTTATGGAAGATTTTGCGGAAAGATCTTATTTTGAGTGCTTACAAAATCTAACTCATGCAAGAATTGCAATGAATGCAAGGTACATCATCACCTAGCAAAGCGTAAATTCGTAGATTCGGTGAGTAGGTCCAAAACGAGATTGCCGTTGATTCTTGATTTTCATAAGCAAATTTTTTAAGCGATGAAGCTCACTCTCTATCTTGGGCAATTTGCATCCATTGTGAACCCGGCGTTGTTTCTTCAGGTTCATCTGACCATCGCATTTGTGGCCTTCCCTTTTTTCGTTTGTGATTCCATGGTCTCCAATGTATTGGCGAAATTCCATTTAAGCTTTTGTTACTTGGGTTGAGACATTTGTCACTTTTGTTTTATTACGGATCCATTCGTTTCATTAGACAGAAGAAACCATTCATCATCATCATCATCATCATTCAGCCTATACTCGTCCACTGCTGATCATAGGCCTCCCGTAGTTCACCCCACAAATTTCTGTCCTGAGCCGCCTGCATCCAATTTTGATGTGTCCGTTTCAGGTCATCCGTCCATCTTGGTTGGTGGTCGTCCTCTATTCCTAAAGGCATCTTGTCTGGGTCTCCACTCAAGAATGCGTTTTGTCCATCTGCCGTCCTTCGTTCTCGCGACGTCCCTGCCCAGTTCCATTTTAAGGTTGATATGCTTTTGATTGCGTCGGTTACTCCCGATCTACGGCGCAATTCTGTGTTGGGTATTCGGTTTTCTCAGGGTCAATCCCAACATGGACCGTTCCATTGCCCTCTGTGTTGTTCGAATTTTATTTGCGGACGTCTTAGTAAGTGTTAGCGTCTCCGCACCATAGGTTAGAAACCGGCAGCACACATTGATCGAAGTCTTTTCTCTTCAAGCAGATGGGAAGAGCTGATTGGAAAACATCTCTTAGCTTTCCATAAGCTGCCCATGTCAACCCTATTCTACGTATTAGTTCATTGGTCTGGTTATCTCTACTTAAGCGAATTCGTGTCCCAGATATTTGGTATGCTGATGTTTGTTCTATACTTGTTTCCAGCTATGTTGATTGTTCTCACTCAGAACAAGGTTTGTCATCACTTGTGTTTTTGAGTTATTGATCTTTAAACCCACTTGTGTAGAGCATCGTAGAGTCTTTCGCACATTTCGATGGCATGAACTATGCGGTCTGTTTATCAGGACTATTATCGTCCCGCGAACCTGAGGTGACTAAGCTGCTCTCCATTTATGTTTATGCCCTTTTCGTCTAGGTTTGCACGCTTACACATGTATTTCAATAATGTTGTAAACAGTTTTTTGTGAAATGGTGTCGCCCTGCGAACTCCACGATGAATGTGAACTTGTGTGTTATCTTCATGGAGTTTGACGCATGCCGTGGCATTATCATAGATATTTTTTGATGACAGTGGTGTAGCGCTGATCTATCCGGCACTCTTTTAAAGCTTCTAGCATTTTCTGGTGGTTTACTGTGTCGAATGCTTTCTCATAATCCACAAATATTAGGACGAGGGGTTTAATTGTACTCTATAACATTTTTCGATGAGGCTTTTAATAACTTGTAGATGGTCGTTTGTGCCGAAGCCTGACCTGAATCCTGCCTGTTCGCATGATTGGTAAAAGTCCATTTTGTTCGAAAGTCTGTTTGTTTAAGACTTTGTAAAAAGCTTGTATATGTGTGGAAATGAGGCTGATTGGTCTGTAGTTTACGAGATTTGTTTAAATCTCCTTTCTTAAACATTAGAATGATCACTGCATTTTTGCCATTGGTGATGGTGTTCTTCCTCTTTCAAGGCATTCTGTGAAAAGTATGGAAAGCATTTGTATCAGTTTTCTCGCCTCCTAATTTTATGGCTTCGGCAACGACCCCGTCCGTCGCCAGGTGACTTATTATTTTTTCATTTGTAGGAGAGCTTTTTTGATTTCAGCAACAGTAATATCTGGTATGTCTTCCGACCCTGGTTTAGAACCTTTGGTATGTTGTCAGTTGAACATTTTCTTCTGTTTTGCTGTAGAGTTCGCTGTAAAATTGTCCGACAGTTTGTAGAATTTCCTGTTTATCTGTTATTATTTTCGCCCTTTGTGTTTTTCAGTTTGTAAATATTTTTCTTTCCTATTTGCTGTTTCCTTCTGAAGACTTTTAAACTTTTGTTCTCTTCTATGACTTTTGATATTAACCAAAGAAACTTGATATTAACCTAAGAAACCATTACATCAAGAAAAACTAACTGTTTGGTGTGCTTTATGGTTCTGGTATATTGCGTCATATAGTCAATCATTGCGCTGACCCGGCCAGTCAGTAATCTTACGGTTTTGCCCAAGGAACGCATATGTGCCAATACAATCCCTCTCCACAAGAAGGGATGCGGAGATTATCATCTAATAATTCCAAGAACCAAAGTCAGCCAGTATTTTGCTACATTACATATCACAAAATGATATTTTAACATATAAATCATATAATATTTTTATAATTTATTTAAATTCATAATAACAATTTTTATCTTAATAAAAATAATGTGATATTTCGAAATATGTGTTTGTGTGAATAAACTAATTGTAGTACTAATGCTTTTTTAAAATAAAAATTGATAAATCTTATCAAAATCTAAAAGTACATAAAAAATAACATATATATCAACTTGGCACATAAAATAGAGTATTTGCAGTGGCGGCTGGAGAGGATGGATAGGGGGAGCAATAAATTTTATTTCATTAAAATATAGTCATCTCGTCAAACTAAATCTTACAAGAATTACATTTGTGTTAAACGTCAGCATTCTATTTTGACTGATTTTCATAACGCCCGATAAAGGCATCCGGTTACCATGGGAACGACCAGCAGTAACTAAAATCCTTTTGGAAACACGTGGAAATATGCAGTAGTACAGGCGATAGATGAGACAAATACGAAATACGGAAAATTTGTATGAGAGAGAAACTTGTGACAATATTATATTTCAAATTAAGGATTGTTTTGGTCTTAAAAAATCATCTATCTGGTGCAAAGTTGTTTTAAAGAGAAAATTATGAACATTATAGAAAGAAACTACCTTTGGAACATATTTATGTCTTCTTCAATGCATTTCCAATGATAGAAATGCATTTCCAAATGATAGAAAAATCGTTAGATGTAGAAATTTCTGATTTTAACAAAAGATAATGAAAAGGTTCACCCTCAATAAATAAGTATTGAGTTTCATTTTGGCTTTTGGTAAGTATCAATTTATCTTCTGGTATTCTGGAATCAGCTCCACCCTAAACGAAATTATCACCTTCCGCCACTGGATACTTATATAAATAAAAGAAATAAAGTAATGTTTCATGTCTCGTTTTTTTTTCATTCAATTTAATCCTATTGTTAAGTTTACATTTCGCACTTATCTCATATGATGACTAGCCTCTAGCCTTTTAGTATTTTATATAGGTATCTTCAGATTTTAAATAAAATGTGATTCACACTATTTATGACGAGTGGCTCCAAATTATGTCTCATAAAAAATTATTTTCGGCTCGATAGGTAAGCTTTCTTTAATAAATTTTTGTATTTTATTGTAATCATTCACTCGGTGGATACAAAAAATAATAATTTTATTCTTTAGCAGTTTTTTCCTTACGAACCAATATAACCTACAGCGAATCGTACAAATATTCAAAGCAGCAGCTGAGATATAATCATCATCATCACAATCATCATAATCACAGTGTTACAGCTCTTAAAGGGCCTTGACCTTCTTAAGTTTTCTGCGCAATTCTGCTTTGTATCTTGGCGGTTTTCCGGTTGGCAAAACTGATTTCCTCAGCATCCTGTGTTACCCTGTAATATCCACCAGAGCTTAATTCTGCTTCGTCTTCTTATATGCGATATGCTTATATACGATATGAACATATCTACATCTAAAAAGAAATCTTTAGTGATGACAAGAGAACTCAAACGATACAAAATAGTCATTAAAGGACGATATAATCAGCTTACGTATGAGGATGTCTTAGATATTTCACCTGAAAACCAATAAGATACACGATACAAACGAGAGCTTATATGTACAGCAGAAGCAGAAAACGTTAAGATACCAGAGCCTTAAGATTATGGACAACTTTACAATGGGAAAAAAAGAGATGACGAAATTAATCAGCATGTTACACGTTTGATGGTGGGAGACTAGTTCGAATAGGTAGAGATTTAAGGTCAATTAGAGTCAATTAAGGTCAAGATATCTGACCTTAGTCGTGGGAATACGACTTTGACATTCAGAAAATATTAATATATTTCAGACAGGCTTACGACTGAATTAATAGACAAAAGTTATATCAAATATTGCAGAGCCTTAACATCCACCAAAAATACATCCGACAAGTAAAAGCAGCAATGGACTTGTCAACAGCAACTGTTAGAGTACAAAATGAGCTCACTGGGAACTTTTGAATAGTCAAAGGATTAAAGCAAGAAGACGGGCTAGCACCGACAGACACTATTATAACCTAACTCTAGAATATGTACTTAGACTGAATATGGAGAGAGTTAATATCTCCTAACAAATAAATCAATACAAATTGTCATCTATGCCGATATTAGCATTATGTCTCGTAGAGTAGAAGAGGTGGTAGAAATATATTCACAATTAAAAACAGGGGCAGAAGAGACCGGACTAGAAATAAATATTCAAAAGACACATGCAAATGCTGGGAGAAACAACTGAGAGGAAAAGTCCGACATAACGACTCAATCAAAAGGAACAAACTCTACAATATATTGGCTAAATTCGCAATACCATAAAAGCTAATTAGGCTCTTTAAAGCCACAATCGATGAAACTCAGGCATGTGTACAAATACAAAACCACCGGACAGACTTTTTCAAAATTTCGCAGGGACATGGGCTGGCCCAAACTTTATTTAACCTGACACTGGAGTATGTGGTTAGACAAAATACAAACTGGAGGAGGAAACCTACTGACCAACCGAACGGTACAACTGGCCGCTAATGCCGATGATAAGAATATTATGAGTAGAACATCAACAGCAGCACAAGAAACATAACGCAGAGTAAAAACGCAAACAAAAAAACTAGGTCTGGAAATTAACCGCTGGAATTAACAATGAATGATACAGATAAGAAGAAATACAGTCCCGTAAAACATTATACATTAAGATGACATTGAAACGATTGGAAAGTTTACATACCTAGGAGTAGAAATATATGCCGACGGATCAGAAGATGGAGAAATACGGAAGGCTGAATTTGGGCTGTAGTGCCGTAAAAGAAGAAGAAGTATGTTATGGATGCGACATATGGGTGATGACAGATGACACAAAACGAAAGCTGAACGTCTTCAAATGAAAAGTCGTAAGAATATTAGGATAAGATATTTTTACCTATTATCGAAAACAGATGCAGGTACAGCAACAAACTTTACCAAATGTTCAAAGAGGCACCGATATCAGAATTTGTTAAACTTCAGAGACTTCTATGGGCTGGTCATGTCGTGCGAATAGAGACCAAAAGATTGCTAAAAAGCGTCTAGATAGTAAAATTCAGGCTGCAAGACCAAAAGGATAAAGTGGCACCGGACGCGCAAAATTTGCTATAATATTACAGACGTGAAAACCGTAAAGACGTGGAGAATTTGGCTGCAGCGCCGTAGAGAGAGAGAGAGAGAGAGAGAGAGGAGAGAGAGAGAGAGAGAAGGTATCAGACCATCAGAGATCCATTAGAGAGAAACTAAAAAGTTGGTGAGGTAGCTGGCAATTTAACGCCACAAATACTATAGATTTAAGATCAGTCAACAACGGGCTTAAGGCGTAATATAAAAAGAAGAAGTTTGTTAGTTGTATACCTAATCTTCGAAATTGGGGAAACTTCGTCATCTCTTTGGTCATTGATGTTTTGAAGGTCAATTTTTATTATTTCGGTATTGGTCTCATTTTATAGGGTTCATTTATAGATTTCTTCCTATCGATCCTGATAAAATATTTTATCTTTCTGCATTTTGTTTAGTGTTTTGATAATTTGCTTTTAAGGTTTTTCTCTATATTTTTTTGGCATTATCTGAATTTTTAAGCTTTTCTAAGGGATTCGAAGCACTTATTTCAACGCGTAGCAAACGTAGCAAAGAAGTTATTCTTGCAGTTTAATTATTTATTAACTATTCTATAAAATACTTACTGAGTACGTTGTAAATTGCTATAAAGGTTTTAAAAAATACTTACCCTATGCTGTATAAGATCGGTTACGGCTTTGTTGCTATCATGGTCATTGTGCTCAAATATGTCTAATAGTGTATTATCTAGTCGACTTCGAAAAACAGTGTCGTTTTTTAATTTGCAGAAGGCATTTATTCCCAAAGTCTGCTGCAGTACAAAAATCACCAACAATATTGCAATATACTGAAACAAAAATTTGCAAAATTATTTAAAATGCACTAAGTTCAGTTTAGTAAGAGAAACGGTTCATAAAAGAAGAAATAAAAAGGGTTTGGTAAATTGTGAGTGGAAAGATAGATATACTTATGGGTTACGAAAACAATAAGGTCTTTGGTAAGGTCTGCCATAATCACCTCATACCAACTACTTAGAGGTAAGAATTTAGATAACAAAGATATGAGAATATTAACTCATCTATATTTTAATCAGGTTGCAGACATCAGAGTGGAAAAAGAAACTTCTGTGAATATAGACATAGAAAGTGGATTAAGGAAAAGTTGCAAATTCTCATCAGTATTGTTCAATCTGATCTTGGAAGAATTTGTTATTCTACTTTTTATTACAAATGATCTAGTCATTAATATCTTAGCTTAAGTGTCATCATTGAGCTTCAGCAGCTCGGGTAGTTTAATTAATGATATTTCTCCATTGGTCGCGGTCATCTGTTACCTATACTGTCACAGTATACTACGTGTTAAGAAGCTTTTTCCTATTGTCTGCCCATTGCTGTGGAGATCTGTCGTATTGGTGTTGACTCTGACGCCTTCCTTGAACTACCAAACGCTCCCATTGTGTAATAGCTTCGATACATATGGATACCAGACTTTAAAATTAGAAGACAGAAAAACTGAGACATTTGTGTGACGAGCCGTTCATGGAATTCGGAGCCGTTGTCACTGTGTCCACAGTTCAAAAGCATATATGCGTCGTCTATTTGATTCTTGATATTCCATATTTTGCATACATAGTAAAATATGCAAAAGAGCAGCTTTAAAGCTTGAGGAGGATCAGCGTATATATAGCTTTGTATTGTAACAGGTCCCGCATAGAGATTTTTAAATATTTGCTTTATTGGATTAGAATTTAGTTTTAATGCCAAAACGTGCTGTTCGAAAGTATATTATTATACAAAAAAGTGAATTTTTTATATAAAAATATTGAATATTAACACACACGGGACTTTGTGTAAACAACACAAACTCTGTATTTAAGTGACTTGATCTAAATAGAAAATAACAATGAGTTAGTCATTGCTGATACCGTGCAATTGTAGTAATGCAACTTTAACCCGATCTGTTTTTGTTTTCTAGTTTTTGGAAAGTGCAACATAAAGAATTGGTTTGAGAAGTATCCAATGCAACAGTATCTACAAAAATATTTTTCTTTTTGGACAATATTATTACTGCGATAATACAGAGGAGAGTTTGCAATTGTAGTAGCCAACCTCCATGAGGAGAGGGTACTTTAAGAAGAAGAATACAGAATCACTAATAGTCTCTGTAAAACGGAAGAAAGGTAGAACAACCAGTGTACAAAGAGAGCAATAGGAACCACCCAAGAGCGTTAACATTCAATAGCACTACATATTTGGTAAGATGTATAAAACTCCAGAACAATAAACAAAACACGAAAGGAGATAATTAAGCGAATTAAGAAACATAGAGAGTAAATAGTGACCAGGAACATTTTTATTAAAGTCTTAAATTCATTAAAGCAATTATATACTTACCAATATAACATATCTCATTCTTTCCGTCAAACATCCATAACAACCAAATACTGCAAGTATTATTAAAATAGTGCCTAATGGAATTGTTAAAACAGGTATCACCGATAAATCTCCATATTCTTTTGGTATGGCATTAGCTAGTTCTTCAAGATTTATTTTATATATTATTCCAAGAGAGATCAACGAAATTCCAACTAGCTGCAAAAATTTTACTATAAATTGACAGATAAATTACTCTCAAATGCTATAAAAATAAAAATTTCACATTTCTTTTAAATTTAAAAGGCAAAAAATTTAATTTTATTATCACAACAGAAAGTTTACTCTTTTAATTTTATGTCAAAATTATCCTATAATTTAGTGGAATAACGAAATTGTTCAATCGTCTGAACATGCCTTCAACGTTTTCAAGAAAAGTAAAACTAACGCTAATCTTGTAATGTTTAAAAATCTACAAACTCAAAGCAAGTAATTCGTTAAAAAGGAAAACGAGGTAGATACTTTATCGTATTTAACTAAATGCATTTAAATAAGGAAGATATTCCAGAAATACTAGCAAATATACATGAATTTAATTTTAGTAATTCCAATTATGGCATATCTTCTCTATTAATTACTATTTATAACTGGGAATAAGCCACAATTAAAGATAAAAATACGTTTATTGACATTTCAATTTCCAATTCGGAAATCGTTCTCAAATACAAATAGTAAATAAAAAAAAATTCTCTATATACCACAAAAAACTAATGGTATTCAAATATATAAATCTCTAAGAGCGACAATCCAATAAACAAACCTGTAAGTCTTTAGAAATTAGAATTTTAGTTTAACTGTAAAAAAGTTGAGGCCTGGACCTGATGATATCCACCCTCTTCTCTTGCGAAATCTACCTCTGAATGCAAAACTAATGTTAGATGATAATTTTACAATATTTTTATTCCCCATCACTTTCCTAATCTATGGTTCCAGGCAAATATAATTCTAATCCCTAAATATAATAAACAAGAAGGCGATCTAAACTCCTATAGCCCAATATTACTCACGTGTTGTACCTGTATACTTTTATAAAAAATTAATTATCGTCTTAAATGGCATCTCGAAAACAATTACCTAATGAGCATCAGACAAACTGGATTTTGTAAGGCAGATCCACAACAGACGATATAATAACTTGTGTCAGCAGTTCAGCACGGATGAATCTTTTCTGCATAATTAAAAATTTTCGACACAACTTGTAGACATCTTAGATACTCACGAGTAGCATTTTTAAATGCAGTAGTGTCGTTTATTAAAAATAAATTAACATCCCCCAGAAGAGTATTTGTAAACAGTACTCTACAAGGATCTATTTTTTTAATTGCAAGAAATTGTATTATAAGGTAAATAAAGCTACCTGTATTTCCTAGCCTATATACAGAGGTCTGGTCATTTATCTAAAAATAAACAATATAACTCTGGGTCAAATATATTGCAAACTGCTTTTCACAAAATAAAAGCTGGTCTCAAAACACAGGGTTTTATATACTCTGGTGAAAAGACACGTTACTTATCAACAGAAAGAATTATCCTAACTGTGAACTAATACTAAACGGAATTATCCTGAAACAGGCAAAAGAAATAAAATTCTTAGGACTTTCTTTAAACTCAATAATGAAGAGCCACATAATCAATCTGCAACGTTCTTTCCGATCCAGAATTAACCTATTAAAAATGATGTCAAGTACTTTTTGAGATACAACACCGTCACCAAACTCAAAGAATGCGTATCATCAACCACTTCGACTAGAACAGACTCTCTTCACACACAAACATATCTTTAACTAAGGGACTGAAAGTCTTTTTCTTCTTCTTCTTCATCTTTATAAATAATTCTGCTTGTTCATTGGCGGGTTATAACCTCTATGGAATATGGAAGGTTATCACTTCATCTTTTGTAAGGCAGTCCTATACTTCTTCTGCCGATTGGTGACTTATCTCTTGCTATTTTAAACGATACAATTTTTTTTTTCAATTTGTGTCGTTTGTTTATACACTGTATGTTACATTTTCTTCTATGTCTTTACTTCTCTTTCGATCTCTTAACGTTTTTTTCTGTAATTGTTCTCAGTACTCTCATCTCTGCATTTCCAATAGCGTTTGTATTGTTGCTGTGTTGGGTCTTGTTTCTGAGGCTGATGTCATTATTGGTCTTATACTGGTTTTATAAATTCTTTACTTCACCTCAGTGTTCATCGAATGCCCCGTATCTAAAGGAAAAGCGGGTGTTCATCCACGAATTTCCTGTTGGGCGGCAAACCCTTGCGATCTGTCGAATTGGCTTATAGGATTTTAATAGTTGTAGGTTGCTGATTCTTTATTTTGCCTCTTGCGGGGTAAAATTATACTTAACACTTTTCTTCACTGATTTATTGATTTAATAAACTAATACACAAAAATTAAACACTTGGTAAATTAAATACTTTGCAGTAGATAAACAGAGCCGATTCCCCACTCAATGGGGACCATACCACGCCGCGCCGATTCTAGCTCAACGGTAACCATACAACGCCAATTCCAGCTCAACGGGGAATTATACAATGCCGATTTCCGCTCAACTGATCGTATGCCGATTCCCACTCAACGTGAGCCAGAACCAGCGAACCGATTCCCGCTCAACGTGAGCCAGAATCAGCGTGTCGATTCCCGCTTAAATTAAACATGGCGGAATTGTCAATAGGACATAATATATTGTTAAGGTCATGTTAAGGTCAGGTTAAAAACATACTGATCATTTTCAGACAACTGGACTTAATCCCATAAAATAAAGTCTTCTTTAGTTTTAAAATTTTAATAAGCTCTGGCATATTTTTACGTTTCATGTGAAAAATTATTTTAATTGAGTTATAAAAAATAATCCATTTATGGTTAAATCAAAAAAAATATTTGGATCTTCAGCTGGTATTGCAAAACTTAATATAAGAATACAATTGTAATTTTACACAAAAATTAGTTATTTATAATAAATGATTTTCCAATCCTGGCACTTTGAATTTTTATTAAAAATATCTATCAAGGAAAATGTAGAGTATTACTTGGAGTATTTCTGCCTCCTATTTTTGTTAAATAACTTTTTTGGTATCTTGTACAATAACATAAATATACCTGAGTTCGTATTATTCAAAGTCTATTGCACCTACACATAAAATTTGTGTGTAGGTTATATATTTATGACACTGACTTACAGACGGAAAATTTTAAGAACTGCATAAAAAATTGGCGAAGGTTCAATGGTTCACGCGTTTAAATTGTGCGTTGAAAATGGTTTACGCTATTTCTGAAACAGTTCCTACTGCCATTTTATTATGTAAAAAATATTTACTTAAATTGTGCCTTGTATAATGCATTATATTTTTGTAGTCATTTTGCGAGAGGGGTTAGGCAAGGATGCGTCTGTGTTCTCCGACGCTTTTTCAACGTGTACTCACAGGTCATATTCAGAAAAGCCTTATGGGAAAGAAAAGAGGGAATAAGAATTGGTGGAGAAATCATAAACACCATGAGATTTGCAGATGACACGGTAATTATGGCTGAGAGTATAGAAGATCTACAAACTTTACTAGATGCAATAAATAGTGAATGCATTCAAATGGACTTGACATCAACACAGATAAGACCAAATTTATGATAGTATCAAGGAGTCCAATAAATAATGAACAACTAACTCTTGGTGACCAGCAAATAGAGAGAGTGACAAAATAAATATCTGGGAGCTTACATCAACACAGAATTAGATCCAGACCAAGAGATCCAGATACGAATAGAAAATGTCAAGGGCAGCATTCTTAAAATTCAAACAATTGTTCTGTGACAAAAAACTGAATATTGCGCTGAGACTGAGGTTTGTTGAATGTTACGATCTGGTCGCAATTATTGTACGGGGTAGAAACATGGACACTAAAAGCGCAAATAGTTAAAAAGATTGAAGCCTTTGAACTTTGGATATACCGGAGAATGTTGAGAATCCCATGGACTGCCAGGGTCACCAATGAGGAAGTGCTGAGAAGAATGGGTCGAGTCAAATAAATTGTTGAGAACCGATAAAAGTACGCAAGACTGCATACCTTGGACACATACTAAGAAATAATAAATATAGTCTTCTGCAGGCCATCATGCAGGGTAGAGTCGATGGCAAAAAGGGAATAGGTAGAAAAAGGAAGTCATGGCTGCGAAATATTCGAGACTGGACAAACATGACTGTAGACGAATTATTCCACGTTGCAAAAGACAGAGAACTTTTAAAAATGTGGTCGCCAACCTCCGTTAATGGGGACGGCATAGGAAGAAGAAGAAGTCCATTTTGAACTCTAGTATTTAAATATTAACTAGACTAGTGGACTAGATAATTTCAATATAAACGGTTTAAAACTAAATACGAACCTACTTAATTAGTTTTTTTTACAATGCGCTATTTGTAATGTCAACAAAATAAAAACCTTTCACAAATAATGAGATCATACCTGCTAATAAGGCAAACATTCACTATTTTCAGATGTAATATAGTAAAAATATTGATACAATTCAACGCATTAGTTTTTATTTATTTACATTTTCTTTTTAAAATGTTCATTTTTGATGGGGCTGCACCAAAATCCATTGTAAATATTAAAACTGATTCTTAAGAGGAGGTATGAGATATAACTATCTTCATTATCATAATAATTGGCTCGAGAATCATTTGTGTATCTTAGCCCGCTCGTAGATAAGTCGTCACTCCTGTCGATTCCTAGCAACTTCTCTCCATCTTCTTCTACATTTTCCATCTTCTAAGCCATCACCCTCTACTTCTTCTGCTCTCTGAGTTTCATAATGTCAATCTCTTTCTGTACTCATTGTGTGATATCTTAGCAATGTATACAGCTCATCTTAGCCATTGCCATTGTGTCCCACCTATTACCATATTCTTAATTATAGCAAAGTTAAGAATCTCAGTCCGTTTTGCCATTGTAGGCTCTCCTATAACCGCATAGTGAAACATAACCATTTTAAAACTTCATAATTTTAATTTAGGGGTAGGTAAAGTTATTGCGTTATAATAGATATCTTCTTCTTCTTCACTGGCTTTACAACTCAGGGTGAGTCTTCGCCGCATCCACTATCGCCCTCCATCCTCTACGTTGCGCATCTACATATTTCCCATTGTTGTAGCCCAATTCTAG